AAGCCGTTCCTTTAAAGCCTTTCACAGCTGACTACCTCTCTCTCTTTTCCTGCCACTGCTCTATAGCTTCGTCCTGTAAAGTCGATTCTGGAAGCCTTTCCCAGCCGACTAGTCCCCCTTCTCTCGCTCTGTAAGCCGATTCTGAAAGCTGTTTGTAGTCAATTTTCTCTCTTTCTCTCTCGCTTCCTCATACAAGTCATTCACAGCCGACTTCCTTCCCTACACCTGTCTAGTTTCACCTGGAAGCCGTGCACAGCCGCTATTCAAAACTAACACCCCCTGAAGCCGTTCATAGCCACAATCCAACCTCTCTCTCTCTCTCTCTCTCTCTCTCTCTCTTTCACCTCCACTGTCTCTCATACATTCATTCTTATTCTATCTATCTATTTCCTTTCATCTCCAATGTTTCTCTCTCTCTCTCTCTCTCTCTCTCTCTCCTCCAATGTTTCTTACTCTACCTCCCTCTCTACCCCCTCCCTCTCTCTCTCTCTCCCTCCCTCTCTCTCTCCCTCTCCTCCCTCCCCTCCCTCCCCCTCCCTCCTCTCCCTCTCTCTCCCTCTCTCCTCTCTCCCTCTCTCCCTCCCTCCCTCTCTCTCTCTCCCTCTCTCCTCCTCCTCCCCTCCCTCTCTCACCCCTCTCTCTCTCTCCTCCCTTACTCTCCCTCCCTCTCTCTCACCCCTCTCTCTCTCTCACCGTGCGCCATCCTTCAGTGTCCTCATAATCTTGGTGTTGAAGATGTTAAGTCCAAAAGTTGCACATTTACTGTAGCTCAAAATATAAAAAAACAAACTTCTATCCTCACAAGTTAAGCGACACACGACTCACAGAGGACACCAAGAGCCTCCCTCCTCATAGGCTTTCCTCACAGGCTTTCCTCATACATTCTCCTCACAGGCTTTCCTCATACATTCTCCTCATAGGCTTTCCTCACAGGCTTTCCTCATACATTCTCCTCATAGGCTTTCCTCACAGGCTTTCCTCACACACATCCCCCTAACCCACCTACACCCATCACACAAACCTCCTAACCCACCCACACCCTCCTAACCCACCTTCACCCACCACACAAACCCTCCTAACCCACCTCACCCACCACACAAACCCTCTTCACCCAACCTTCACCCACCACACAAACCCTCTTCACCAACCTTCACCCACCACACAAACCCTCCCCACCCCCCTACACCACACCACCACACAAACCCTCTTCACCCAACCTTCACCCACCACACAAACCCTCCTCACCCAACCATCACCCACCCTGAAAACCCTCCTCACCCAACCATCACCCACCACACAACCCTCTTCACCCGACCTTCACCCACCACAAACCCTCTTCACCACCACACCCCTCCTCACCATCACCCACCACAAACCCTCCTCACCCAACCATCACCCACCACAAACCCTCTTCACCCGACCTTCACCCACACAAACCCTCCTCACCCAACCATCACACACCACACACAAACCCTCCTCACCCAACCATCACCCACCACACAAACCCTCTTCACCGCCTTCACCCACCACACAAACCCTCTTCACCCCAACCGCACCCACCACAAACCACTCCTCACCCAACCTTCACCCACCACAAACCCTCCTCACCCAACCTTCACCCCACCACACAAACCCTCCTCACCCAACCATAACCCACCATCTTCACCCACCCACCACAAACCCTCCTCACCCAACCACCCACCACACACAAGCCCTCCTCACCCCAACCATCACCCACCACACAACCCTCCTCACCCAACCATCACCCACCACACAAGCCCTCCTCACCCAACCATCACCACCACCACACCAAAGCCCCCACCACACAAGCCCTCCTCTTCCCACCACCAACCCACCACACCCTCCTCACCCAACCATAACCCACCACTCAAGCCCTCCTCACCCAACCCTCACCCACCACAAACCCTCCTCACCCAACCATCACCCACCACACAAACCCTCGTCACCCAACCACAACCCACCACACAAACCCTCCTCACCCAACCTTCACCCACCACAAACCCACCTCACCCCAACTTCCACCCACCACACACAAACCTCCTCACCCAACCTTCACCCACCACAAACCCTCCTCACCCAACCTTCACCCACCACAAACCCCCACCCTCTTCACCCACCACAAACCCTCTTCACCCAACCTTCACCCACCACACAAACCCTCCTCACCCAACCTTCACCCACCACAACCCTCCTCACCCAACCTTCACCCACCACACAAACCCTCCTCACCCAACTCCTCACCCACCACACAAACCCTCCTCACCCAACCTTCACCCACCACACAAACCCTCCTCACCCAACCTTCACCCCACCACACAAACCCTCCTCACTTCACCCACCACCCCTCCCACCCAACCTTCACCACCACAACCCTCCTCCCAGCCAACTTTCACCCACCACACAAGCCCTCCTCACCCAACCTTCACCCACCCAAACCCTCCTCACCAGCCTTCACCCACCACACACCCTCCTTCACCCAACCTTCACCACCACACAAATACCTCCACCCAACCTTCACCCACCACACAAACCCTCCTCCTCACCACACAAACCCTCTTCACCCAACCTCACCCACCACACAACCCTTCTCACCCAACCTTCACCCACCACACAAACCTCCTCCACCCAACCTTCACCCACCACACACAAGCCCTCTTCACCCAACCTTCACCCACCACACAAACCCTCTTCCCAACCTTCACCCACCACACAAACCTCTTCACCCCAGCACCCACACCACCACACCACAACCCACCCAACCTCTCACCCAACCTTCACCCACCACACAAACCCTCTCACCCCCAACACCACCACACAAACCCTCCTCACCCAACAAACCCTCCTCTTCACCCAACACCCACCACACAAACCCTCTTCACCCAACCTTCACCACACAACACCCACCCACCACAAACCCTCTTCACCCAACCATCACCACCACAAACCTCCTCACCCAACCATCACCCACCACACCCTCCTCACCCAAGCCGCACCCACCACACAAACCCACCTTCACCCTCCTCACCCAACACCACACAACAACCACCCACCACACAAACCCTCCTCACCACACCACCATCACCCACCCACCACCACAGCTCCACCCCAACCCACCACACAAGCCACTCCTCACCCAACCACACAAGCCACTCCTCACCCAACCATCACCCACCACACAAACCCTCCTCCTTGTCATCACCCACCACAAAACCCAGCCATAACCAACCACAACCCTCCTCACCCAACCATAACCCACACACAGCCTCCTCACCCAACCCTCACCACACAAGCCCTCCTCAGCCAACCATCACCCACCACACAAACCCTCCTCCCCAACCATAACCCACCACACACAAACCCTCCTCACCCAACCTTCACCCACCACACAACCCACCTCACCAACTTTCACCCACACAAACCCTCCTCACCCAACCTTCACCCACCACACAAACCCTCCTCACCCAACCTTCACCCACCACACAACCCTCCTCACCCAACCTTCACCCACCACACAAACCCCTCTTCACCCACCACACAAACCTCTTCACCCAACCTTCACCCACCACAAAGCCTCCTCACCCACCACCTTCACCCAGCCTTCACCCCACCACACAACCCTCCTCACCCAACTTTCACCCACCACACAACCCTCCTCACCCAACCACCACCACCACAAACCCTCCTCACCCAACCTTCACCCACCACACAAACCCTCCTCACCCCAACCTTCACCCACACAAACCCTCTTCACCAACCTTCACCCACACCCTCATTAACATGCATAAAAAAATAGTTGAATATAAAAACCAAAATAAGTGTAAAAAAATAAAAAAAAAAAGACTCAGCTTGTACAATAATTAATTAAAAAATGTAAAAAAAAAAAAAATAATCAGGTAATTTTTTGAAAACTCAGGTAAGAAAAATGATACGTTTGACCTTTCTAAGATTAATGAGGCAAATAAGGAGAAATGAAACAAATTGAAAATGAAAGAAGAAAATGAGAGAAAGAAAGAAATTTAGAGGAAGGAATGAAAGAAGGATGAGAGAAAGGATTGGAGATAAAGAGAGATATGTAGAGAGAGGAATGAAATAAAGGAAGAGAGAAATAAATAAATAATTAAATAAATAAATAAATATGGAAGAAATAATGAGAGAAAGAAAGATTGAAGAAATATTAAATGACAGAAGGACGGAAATATAACAAATAAAAAAAGAAAGAAAGAAGAATGAAAGGAAGAGAGAAAACAAACAAAAGAAACAAACAAAAAAAATGAAAAAAACCAGGAATAAAAAAAAAAGAAGATAGAATGGAGGGAGAGAAAGAAAGAAAAAAAGGATAACAGGAAGACAGAAGAAATAAAGGAAAAAGAAAGCCAAAAAATGAAGGTAACTAAAAAAGAAAAAAATGAAAGAAATAAAGAAAAACAAAGGTCAGGGAACATCATAGAGATAAACTTTCCACAACACTACATCACACACACACGACTATTGAAGGAAAACAGAGGAATAACGGAAGAGGAATATAAATAACAGGAGAGAGAGAGAGAGAGAGAAGAAATAAAAGGCATATAATAAGATAATAATAGTGTGAATAAGAGCCCATCCTTACCCATCACTAACCCATCCATTCACCCCATCATCCCTTATCGCCATCCATAATCCTACACTCAACGCAATGCTATCCACTCATTCACGCACATCGCCACTGCTTCCTGGATACCCTTCCCGCAACTCAACCTACTCAAGCAAATCCTATCACAAAATCTTTAAACACACAATAAAGATTTGATTAACACAAGCTATGTCCCTCGTAAACTTTCCTCTTTGGTCGTAGTAAAAGTCGTAATGTTTGTCGTAAATTCTATACTTATACGTTCACAGGTATTGGAAGTTGTATTGATGTTGTGAGAACCTACCTGCCCATCTTTCACTTTTCACTTCTTAAAAAAAATAACTTATTTCTTTTTTCTCTCTTTCAGAACGTTCCCTTGGCCAGACGTTCTCAAGTTGGTGGATGAAAACGTCCTCGGCAAGACGTTCTCCATCTGGCAGAAACACACAGAACTGACGGAGGAAACTGGTTGGCAAGATCCTGTGAGAGGTTCTGGATCCACGAGAGTTCTGTGAGAAGTATTGATCCACGAGAGTTCTGTGAGAAGTATTGATCCACGAGAGTTCTGTGAGAAGTATTGATCCACGAGAGTTCTGTGAGAAGTATTGATCCACGAGAGTTCTGTGAGAAGTATTGATCCACGAGAGTTCTGTGAGAAGTATTGATCCACGAGAGTTCTGTGAGAAGTATTGATCCACGAGAGTTCTGTGAGAAGTATTGATACAGGTCGTTCCTTTGATCCTTTATGAATATGTCCTCTGAGAGCTGCACAAGAAGGTAATAAGTAAACATGAAAAGTAATTCCTCTCTCGTGTCAACTCGACAGTGAGAGAATCGACTCTGGAGGAGAACACACTCTTACTTTTGAGTCCGACTTTAAAGAATCACATCAACTACCACCACCACCACCACCACCACCACCACCACCACTACCACCACCACCACCACCACCACCACCACCACCACCACCACCATGAACTCCAACTCGACGCTGTATTTGGACTTCGATGGCAACGACTCCGACTCCTTCCCTCTTAATTGTTCCTTCCTCAACATGAAAGATCCAGACGCAACGAGTAACTGTAGTCTCGGGGTGTTCACAGGAGAGGTGTCCCCTATACACGTGGTGGCCAGTATCATTATGCAGGCTTGCTACGCCATCGCTTTCCTGGTGGGTCTGTGCGGCAACACCCTCGTCATCTACGTCGTCACCAGGTTCTCCAAGATGCAGACGGTCACCAACTTGTACATCGTGAACCTGGCTATAGCAGACGAGCTCTTTGTCATCGGCATTCCGTTCCTCATGATCACCTCAGTTCTGGGCTACTGGGCCTTCGGGTCTATCATGTGTAAGTTGTACATGATAACGACGTCACTCAACCAGTTCACCAGTTCACTGTTCCTGACCATCATGAGCGCTGACCGATACATCGCCGTCTGTCACCCCATCAGTTCGACCAAGTTCCGGACGCCCATGATCTCCAAGCTGGTCTCCCTGACGGCCTGGACCACCTCCGCCCTCATGATCGTGCCCGTCTTCATGTACTCCAACACGCTGGAAGTTAATGACCTCATCAACTGCAACATCTTCTGGCCAGACAGCTTCGGCATCAGCGGTCAGTTCGTCTTCACACTCTACTCGTTCATACTCGCCTTCGGCATCCCTCTTATCCTCATCTTCATCTTCTACGGGCTGGTGCTACAAAAACTGAAGTCCGTGGGACCCAAGAGTAAGTCGAAAGAAAAGAAGAAGAGTCACAGGAAGGTGACGAAGATGGTGCTGACAGTGATCACTGTGTACGTCATGTGTTGGCTGCCCTACTGGGTGCTGCAGCTGGCGCTCATCTTCAGCCCGCCCCGGGAGGGCCAGAGTCCCTTCATGGTGGTGCTGTTCCTCATCTCCTCCTGCCTCTCCTACTTCAACTCGGCCATCAACCCCATCCTGTACGCCTTCCTCAGCGAGAACTTCAAGAAAAGCTTCATGAAGGCGTGCATCTGCGCCACCAGGAAGGACGCCAACAACGCCCTGGCCGTGGAGAACTCGGTCTTCCCGCGACGACGGGGCGGCTCTGCGAAACCCAAGAACGCCAAGGCTCACGAAATGGAGTCCAACGACGCCTACACGACTCAGTGCACCAGGGACGAAGCCACGACGGCCATCACCATGACCACCCGCTCTACCGTGAGTCAGATGGGCAGGGAGAACGGCACCGAGATCCCCACCACCCAGCTCTGAAGACGCGGCTTCTACTGCTACTAGGCACCTCCTCCCACCAGGTAAACCATAGAGATGTACTGCAACTCTCTTAAGTGTTAGCTGTTGATGACTCACTATAATACGTGCTTAGAGACCTTAGTTGTAATATATTATAACAACTGTATCATGTGAGCCAAACTCCTCCCTACATAGTGTGATCTTGACTACCACATTAAGATAACACAGGGAGTTTATAGTAGGATTTTTAGCCTAAGATATTTTGCTGGATAATGGAAATATCGTAAGATCTTCAGACTAAAGGTATATATCACGAAACAGTCTGAAACAATATACATGGCATGTGGTTGTGTGAGCTGAGTATGGAGCACGAAACATAACACACAAAATAACACGAAACTTAACACACAAAATAAACATCAAACACGAAACTTAACACAGGAAATAACACAAAACTTAACACACTAATCTTGAGAGAGAAAATATAGTATCACACCTGACCCGTGTAGAGGCCATCAGCCAATCGTGAATCAGTAACTCCCGACCAGTAGGCAACCAGGATTAGGGTCAACACGCTACTTAACAACCAAACTACCACTATTGATGGCACTTGAGGGTCATTCCTAGTTTACAGTGGTGTGTGACCCTCAGCTTATTGGTTTTCGAGTGCCACTTAACCTAGGGCCATGTGACTGAAGTGTGAGATGGTTTAGAAGTAAGAGAGAATTGTAAGTTAGGAAGGGAATTGTAAGTAGGAGTAATTTAAGTAAGGGGAGAGGAATTGTATATATATGTAAGGGGGAGGAAGTTGTAAGTAAATGAGCCAGCTAGTCAGGTCAAAGGTTAAAACACTTAAGGTCATACTAGAAAAACATTAACAAAATAAATTAACTAAAAACCCTAAGCTAAAATATAATAATAACTCGATAAAAAAAAGTTAAAAAATATACGAGATTTTAAAATTTTATGAAAAAAATCATAGTTTAATGTACAGTAGAATTTTATAAGCATTGGTTCAACTTGATTAAAATTATATATATATTTTTTACAATTATTTTATATATACGAGTTAATTTATATAATGGGATAATTTTTTTTTACTTATATAGCTGGAAAAAATAAGTTTCTAAATGGTGTACTTAAGAGTATAAGTTAACATGAGAGTAAAAGTCTGATAACATAATTCTTTATCCCATCAGATGAAAATTCACGAACAGACATACACACAGGCAGAAAGACGTTGCAGCCATAGAAAGACAGACAGATACGTAGTAGACATAAAATAAAAAGAAAAACAACACACAGACAGACAAAAACCACGAACCGAATAAATCAATTTCCAAGACAAGATTTTTGACACACACACACACACACACACACACACACACACACACACACACACACACGACTCTCTCACACACACACACACACACACACACACACACACACACACACACACGACTCTCTCACACACACACACACACACACACACACACGACGCTCATAAGTGTTTCTCCTTCAGTAACTCATAAGAGAAGACAGGTGAGGCCACAGTAGGAGTCACAACACAACACGGGAAGCTACACAACTTCCTCTTCACAATGATGAGATGGCGGCACCTGCACGCCTTGGGTGGCAGGATGGCATGACGGTAGCGTGGCAGGGGGGACAATGGTACCCTACCTAGTATCCACTGTCCCCCTGCCACCCTGTCACCTTACCTCATTCCCCCTGCCACCTTATTCCCTGCCGCCGTTGTAGCCTGCCACCCTACCACTCTGTCCCCCTGCAGGTAGTAAGGCTGCAGGGTGGGAGGGTGGCAGGGTGGTAGGGTGGCAGGGTGGTAGGGTGGCAGGGTGGTAGGGTGGCAGGGTGGCAGGGTGGCAGGGTTGTAAGGTGGTAGGGTGGCAGGGTGGCAGGGTGGTAGGGTGGTAGGGTGGCAGGGTGGCAGGGTGGCAGGGTTGTAAGGTGGTAGGGTGGCCTTATGCGTTCATTACCATAATCATAAACATAGCACTATTACACATACATACACATCCCACACTCCAACACCCATCTCAGGTGGTCACACTCCAACCAAGGTCACACTCCAACCAAGGTCTTATTCATAGGTCACACTCAAAATAAGGTCACACTCCAACCAAGGTCATATTCATAGGTCACACTCAAAGTTAGAACACACTCCAACCAGGTCACACTCCAACCAAGGTCATATTCATAGGTCACACTCAAAGTTAGAACACACTCCAACCAGGTCACACTCAAAATAAGGTCACCTCCAACCAAGGTCATATTCATAGGTCACACTCAAAGTTAGATCACACTCCAACCAGGTCACAAGGTCATATTCAGGTCACACTCAAAGTTAGATCACACTCCAACCAGGTCACACTCAAAATAAGGTCACACTTCAACCAAGGTCATATTCATAGGTCACACTCAAAGTTAGAACACACTCCAACCAGGTCACACTCAAAATAAGGTCACACTCCAACCAAGGTCATATTCATAGGTCACACTCAAAGTTAGAACACACTCCAACCAGGTCACACTCAAAGTAAGATCACACTCCAACCAAGGTCACATTCAAAGCAAGGTCACACTCAACCAAGGTCACAATCAAAGCAAGGTCACACTCAACCAAGGTCACAATCAACCAAGGTCACAATCAAAGCAAGGTCACACTAAACCAAGGTCACAATCAACCAAGGTCACCATCAAAGCAAGGTCACACTCAACCAAGATCACAATCAACCAAGGTCACCATCAAAGCAAGGTCACAATCAAAGCAAGGTCACACTCAACCAAGGTCACACTCAACCAAGGTCACACTCAACCAAGGTCACAATCAAAGCAAGGTCACACTAAACCAAGGTCACCATCAAAGCAAGGTCACACTCAACCAAGATCACAATCAACCAAGGTCACCATCAAAGGTCAAGCAAGGTCACACTCAACCAAGGTCACAAGGTCACACTCAACCAAGGTCACAATCAAAGCAAGGTCACACTAAACCAAGGTCACCATCAAAGCAAGGTCACACTCAACCAAGATCACAATCAACCAAGGTCACCATCAAAGCAAGGTCACAATCAAAGCAAGGTCACAATCAACCAAGGTCACACTCAACCAAGGTCACACTCAACCACGGTCACAAACATCCCTAAAACCCTGCCTTTAACTTCCCTCACACACTATCCACAAGAGTAGAGGAGACTTTACACTCTGGCAATGGATGGAGAGGGAGGAGGAGGGGGTACCAGGAAGAGTGCCATTGTTTCTCTCTGGTTTACGGGAATATTACAACATTCCGGCAGTATTGGGTGGAGGAGGGAGGGATAGGGAGGCAGAGAGAGAAGGATGAAAGGAGGGAAGGAGGGAAGGAGGGAAGGAGGGAAGGAAGGAGGGAGGGGATAATCCATGGGTCGTTTACATAAGTCAGTGTAATAATGAATTGCTGTAACTCTCGGTGTGGATGACTAAGTTGCCTTGGTTGACGGGCAGTATACCTGAGAACACCTAAGAGAGACAGGAGAGAGAGACGGAGGAGACAGAAGTGGTGGTAGAGGGTGGGTGAAGTGTAAAATGAGGGGGTAAGAGGGGGTGATGGGAGAAGGGGTTGGGAGAGGGGTATTCAGAGGTAGAGGATAGGGTAGGATGAAGGGCAAGGGAGGGGAAGGGATAGGGGGATAGGGAAGGGAATGGAATGAAGGGGAGGAAAAGAATGGGACAAAAGAGAACAAAATAAAAGAACACAACTACCCCCCCTACAAAAAAAACAAAAAAAACAATAAAAAAATCTCTAGAACATTTAGCCAAGTTCCCCTAAAAATTGTTCTCTGTTTTCATTGAGGTCTCTCCACATCTTCCTTCCCTTAATTATGTGTCCTGGGGCCCACCAAACTAACTAACTTTTCGAGGTGATTGTTTCAGTAGGTAATTAGCTCTGTCCTTAGGTTTGGGAGGAAGGAGGGGGGTGACTGGTGGTGTGTGTTTGGTTGTGTGAGAGAGAGAGAGAGAGAGATAACTACGCTCACGATAACAATAACAGTTCACAGTTGACAAATTAGATTATATTATTGATCACGCTCCTCCAGTTAGCCTACTACAGGGCTCTCAGGTGCGCCAAGGTACATCACTACATTGTGTTCCTCTCATCAGATTATCTCTATCATTTCTGGTTGTCAATTTAATCAACACAGAATATGTTTTTTTTCTTGTTTATAATTCTGCTGTGTGGTAGTGGTAGTGGTGGTGGTAGTGGTAGTGGTGGTGGTGGTGGTAGTAGTAGTGGTGGGTGGTGGTAGTGGTGGTGGTGGTGGTAGTGGTGGTGGTAGTGGTGGTGGTGGTAGTAGTAGTAGTAGTGTAGTAGGTAGTGGTGGTGGTAGTAGTGGTAGTGGTAGTGGTAGTGGTAGTGGTGGTGGTAGTAGTAGTGGTAGTAGTAGTGGTAGTGGTGGTGGTAGTGGTGGTAGTAGTATCATTATATATAGGAGGGAGATGTGTAGGAGGCAGGAAGGAGTAGAGTAGACGTGGTAAAAATTAATATCCCCCTGGGTCTACCTTTTTCCTCCTAATGTGCTTAACACTCACGAACATTCAGCCACACACTACCAGCTATGTGAACAAATGTCTATTCTGATTGGTTAAAATTTGGGAAAGTGGGGGGGGGGGGGATTCTAACAAATCCCGACTTCTCAAAAATACCCCAATAAGAACTGCAGTTTATCATACGTGGGATAATACATTGGTGGGGTTTTTAGTTAGCGAGGATGATAATATTATTAGCGTGGTAAAATATCATGTGATTAATTAGTAACAGGTATGATATCATTCAGGTATGATGTTATTCTCTTAGTATTTACAGGTATAATGTTATGTAATTCTCCCAGGTATCACATATATGATAGCTAGGTAATCCTCTTAGTAATTAATTATTTGATGTCACTCAGGTACAGGTGTGTCATCGTTTTGGGGGGCTCAGAGTCTGTAGCAAGCTGAGACTCTACACCAAGTGACGTCATCATCCACTCAAGCTGACATCTTCGTCGTCTGATTGGTTGACGTCATCGTTGGAGGCAGTTTTTTGTAGGTAGTCGCTGAAATTATTTGTGAGGAGTTTGTGTCCATTGTGGCTGAAACTTTAAACGGTTTCTTCCTGTTGTCGCTGAAACTGAAAACGTGTCATCTTGTACTCGCTGAAACCGAAAGCTGTTCCTTTCTTACAGTCGTTGAAACTAAGAACATGTCACCCTTGTGCTCCTTGAAACTGAAAGCGGGTTTTAGCTTACAAATACAGAAACTAAACACCAATTTCTTCTCGCCGGAGAAACAAAACAAATATCATTTAGTTCTCGTGATAAGTGGAAACCCCTTTACCTTTCGTCGTAGATAAATGAATTGCAGTTCTACAAGACACCAAAAGGCCGCAGCGGCTACCAAATGACATCTGGAGGTTCTCACATGATGCCACAACTTGTAGGAGGAGAGTCACTGAAGTTTCTGGCAATACTTGGTGTCCCCAGAATGACTTGTGACGGAATCCTCAGCGTTTTACTCACATCTCGCAACAGAGACCTCGAGGTTTCCGGGTGTCAAAGGCCTCAGTTGGCTTAGTGGATAAAAGGTGTTAGAGGAGAGTTCCAGATGTAAAATATACTCCAGGTACTATTAACAGAGGGAGCTCCAGATATAACGCATACTCCACACATTAGCTACAACAGTGAGACATTATAAGACTCTAACAACATAACAACATTACAAGACTCTAACAACATAACAACATTACAAGATTCTAACAACATAACAACATTACAAGATTCTAACAACATAACAACATTACAAGATTCTAACAACATAACAACATTACAAGATTCTAACAACATAACAACATTATAAGATTCTAACAACATAACAACATTACAAGATTCTAACAACATAACAACATTACAAGATTCTAACAACATAACAACATTACAAGATTCTAACAACATAACAACATTACAAGACTCTAACAACATAACAACATTATAAGATTCTAACAACATAACAACATTACAAGACTCTAACAACATAACAACATTACAAGATTCTAACAACATAACAACATTACAAGATTCTAACAACATAACAACATTATAAGACTCTAACAACATAACAACATTACAAGACTCTAACAACATAACAACATTACAAGACTCTAACAACATAACATTACAAGATTCTAACAACATAACAACATTATAAGACTCTAACAACATAACAACATTACAAGATTCTAACAACATAACAACATTACAAGACTCTAACAACATAACAACATTACAAGATTCTAACAACATAACAACATTACAAGATTCTAACAACATAACAACATTATAAGACTCTAACAACATAACAACATTACAAGATTCTAACAACATAACAACATTACAAGACTCTAACAACATAACAACATTACAAGATTCTAACAACATAACAACATTACAAGATTCTAACAACATAACAACATTACAAGACTCTAACAACATAACAACATTACAAGATTCTAACAACATAACAACATTACAAGATTCTAACAACATAACAACATTACAAGACTCTAACAACATAACAACATTACAAGATTCTAACAACATAACAACATTACAAGATTCTAACAACATAACAACATTACAAGACTCTAACAACATAACAACATTACAAGACTCTAACAACATAACAACATTACAAGATTCTAACAACATAACAACATTACAAGATTCTAACAACATAACAACATTACAAGATTCTAACAACATAACAACATTACAAGATTCTAACAACATAACAACATTACAAGATTCTAACAACATAACAACATTACAAGATTCTAACAACATAACAACATTATAAGACTCTAACAACATAACAACATTACAAGATTCTAACAACATAATAAACTCATTTCTTTTAGAGTTATCAATGGTGGGTGTTGATATTAAATTCAGATCCAATTATTATCACAATCGATAATTATCCTCTCAAGTATAAGATCAAGTACCAGATACACCTTGTATAAGTCTCAAGTAGTACTCGAGATGGTTAACAGCAATGCCCAGTTAATAGATACTGTCTCATGGACTGTCATACGTCACGTCAAATTCCATACACGCTACCTAAAGTTTCACACACACACTGATTCTTAAGTTCCACACACACACACACACACACACACACACACACACACACACACACACACACACACACACACACACACACACACACACACACACTTCCTCATAAGTTCAGGGTCTTAGCTCTACCAAATTCCAGAACTCTTGAAACCCCTTAAAGTTCCAGAATTTCAATAAGTTTAAGGGATTTCATACTGGCTCAAGTTCTAAGACACTGATAAAGTTCCAGTCACTGCCCAAAGTTCCAGTCATTTCTTACAGTTTCAGTCACTACCTAAAGTTCCAGTCACTACCTTAAGTTCCAGTCACTACCTAAAGTTTCAGTTACTACCTAAAGTTCCAGTCACTAATTAAAGTACCAGGCGCCATCTTAAATACCAGGTGCCATCTTAAGTACCAGGTGCCATCTTAAGTACCAGGCGCCATCTTAAGTACCAGGTGCCATCTTAAGTACCAGGCGCCATCTTAAGTACCAGGCGGCATCTTAAGTACCAGGTGCCATCTTAAGTACCAGGCGCCATCTTAAGTACCAGGCGCCATCTTAAGTACCAGGTGTCATCTTAAGTACCAGGTGTCATCTTAAGTACCAGATGCCATCTTAAGTACCAGGTGCCATCTTAAGTACCAGGCGCCATCTTAAGTACCAGATGCCATCTTAAGTACCAGATGCCATCTTAAGTACCAGGTGCCATCTTAAGTACCAGGCGCCATCTTAAGTACCAGATGCCATCTTAAGTCCCAGGCGTCATCTTAAGTACCAGGTGCCATCTTTAGTACCAGACATATACGTAAAATCACATTACATAATAATCTCCAAAGTTAATGCCGTTAAAGCCGTCCATTCAACAACCAGGATACAAAATACAAAGCCTTTTAGTCCTGACGGAGAATAGTACCAGGAGAGACACGTTTACAGGCTGACCCAAAAAGAATGCCCCGGATTTTAATATACAACCATTAAATCTGGATATTCATTTTCA